TGCGCGGCGAGCATCCGTACACAGCTCGAGCCGCACGATTCTGCAGAACTTGGAGACGGTCCAGGTGCTTACCCGTCAGCGATGCTGAGAAGGCATTGGAGCCATATGAGAAATCAGGCATGATCACCGACTTGAAGTACTGGATGCGGCTTTGCATGGTGAGGCAGCGGCGCATCCGCCACAGCACACCGACTTTCTTGGTGAGGCGGGCAACGCACTTATCCATCTGGGTGTTCCAAGACATGGCGCTGTCAATGTGAACTCCGAGGTAGCGAGCAGAAGAGACAGATGGCAGCTTAGTCGCATGACACCATACGTCCAGTTCAGGTTGTTCTTCTATTTTCCCAGCCGGTACTACCAATGCCTGACTTTTTGATGCATTAAGGATCAAACCTCGCTGCTTCAGCCAGTCAGCAATGCATGTCACTGCTCTGGAGAGAGTGGCGGTCAGTTTCTGTTGTGTTGGGCGACTGCAGGTCAGTGCGATGTCATCTGCGAACTGGATGGACTCAGCTTGCTGGGCAACAGATGGTATGTCCCGGGTGTAAAGGCTGAACAGCAGTGGACCTAATACCGACCCCTGTGGTACTCCACAGGAGCAGGCTGCCACTGTGCTAAGCTGGGATCCCAGCTGGACAATCTGGCAGCGATCAGACAAGTATGACATGAGCCACTGGAGCGCTGTTCCAGTGACGCCCACACAGAAGAGATCTTCGACTAGTTGCTGATGGCGAACCTTGTCGAACGCCTTCGACATATCCAGGAGGACCACACCCGTGAACATGCGGCGGTCTCTTGAGGCGAGGATCCTGTTTACCATCAGCACAAGGGCATCCTCCGTGGAATGTCCTGTCCGGAATGCAAACTGTGTGCTGGGCAGAGAACCAGCCATATCCAGAAAGGTGACAAGTGCCTTCTGCACCACCTTTTCTAGCAGCTTCGAGAGAATTGGGAGCAGGGACACAGGACGAAAATTGTTGGCGACAGATGGATCGCCAGCCTTGTGCAATGGGGTCACATACGCACGCTTAAAGCCAGCGGGTACAGTGCCGGAGGTCAGGGACGCATTGAAAAGTGCTGCAACTGATGGTGCTAGCAGGTCGGCACAGTACTTTAGAAGTAAGCCTGGGATGCCGTCGCTCCCGGTTGCTTTGCGCGGGTCGATGCGCTTCAAAAGCTGTTCAGCATCGCAGGCACGCACATGTTGGAATGAGGTCAGGGCAGACCGAGGCTGTGGTCCCTGAGGCATAGAGAGAACTGAAGGTCGAGCATCATCAGAGACTACCTTGCCAAACTTGGACGCAACATGTTCGATGTCGCATGTCGGCTGGATTGATTGTCTCTTGCGTCCAGTCACAGTATTTAGGACTGACCATAACTTGCATGGGTTCTGGCAATTATCTTGGCACTGACTTTGGAAGTACTGGTTGCGTTTGCACCTGTTTGTATTCGCAGCAACCGAGCGGGCACGTCTATATGCTGCGTGAGCTTCAGAGTTGGCTTTGTCAGCAAGCCACTTTCGATGCAGGCGACGCTTCAGCTGGTTTATTTTGTATAGCTCTCTGTCAGACCATGGAGGATGGAGCTTGCCTGTCTTAATCTTGCATTGCTGCAATGGCGCATGCCTGTCGAGGACAGAAAGGAATCGTTGATGCCAGTGGTCCCACATGGCTTGCACATCAGAGTCTGGTGGGTATACATGAAGTTCAGCAGCAGCTAGGTCAAGTCGGAAGGCAACCAAGTCAATGTTATCTAAACGGCGACGCACACGCTGCTTGGGGATGTCTGGCCGGGCATGTCTTGCATTGAAGGTTGCTTCAACTCCAAAGTGGTCACTGAGTGTAAGCGGCAGGACTCGGCAATCATGCAAATCCTTATCCTCTGTAGTCAGTATCAGGTCAATAGTAGTGCCAGCTGGACACCGAGGTGAGACTCGCGTAACGGAGTGGACGATATTAGTGAGGCCATATGCACCACAGAGATCCAGAAGGGGCTGGGCATGCTGTGGCTGGGAATGCGATATATTGACATTGAAGTCGCCCATCAATGTGACGGCTGAGGTAACCATAGCAGCTTGATGCAGCGATGCCTCAAGGCCGGACCAGTAGGAGACTGGCGCATCTGATGGTCGGTATATGCAGCCAATTAAGTGATTGCCTGCCTTTCCATTTAGCTCAACCCACACTACCTCCGTGTCCACTTGGTTGAGATCCGGCCGTGGTTTCATGGGCAAGTAGGACCGGTAAAAAATACAGACGCCACCTCCTTTTCTCCCCTTTCGGTCATTTTTCACCAAACTGTATCCTTCAATGTTCACTTCTCCATCAGCTATAGACGCGTCCAGCCATGTCTCCGCAATCCCAACAACATCCCATGTCCTTTCCCTAATCAGAGCGGACAGCGTGTCTATCTTGTAGCGCAGGCTGCAGATGTTAAGGAATCCAATGGTGGTATGTGTTGAATGAGATTGTGGCAGTCTGTTAATAGATACGGTAGCAGCCTGAGGGTAGAACTCCCGCGCAACTGGATTTAGCTTACTCATTGACAGCTAGATGAAGGTTGCATTTTGCATGGTATTCCCGACATGGATCCAGGGGAATCTTCTGCATGACGCTTTCCAGGGCGAGGTGGCGTGGCTTTGGCTGGAGCAGACGTAGTTGACGTATCTTGAAGCTTGGGCTGGTGCTGGCCACTGTCCTGCTGGACATCACTAGATGCAGGGCTTTGGCTGTCATTAGCCGCAGGGCATTGGCTGTCACTGGACGCAGGGCATTGGCTGTCATTAGACGCAGGGCATTGGCTGTCACTAGATGCAGTATGCAGGTTCTGCTGTTCTGTCTGCAAATGCTGGTGCTCTTCAGGTGTAGATTCCTGATGCTGATTTTCCTGTGTCTTCTGGTGCTCCTCCTGCCGTTTCTTCTGCTGTTGCTGCTGGTCTGCTGTGTTTCTCTGTTCAAGACTTAGTGTAGATTCCTGGTGCTGATTTTCCTGTGTCTTCTGCTGTTGCTCCTGTTGTTTCTTGTCTGCTGCGTTTCTCTGGTCATCACGAAAGACCCATGGGCGTGCATAAACAGGCCTGGGCCAGAAGTTTGGCTGTGTGAGGGCTTCAACTGAGGCTCGGCTGATCGTCACACGAGCACCGACCTTGCCATCAGCCTTGCTGATCAGTTTGCTACTAAATATCGTGAGCTGCTGATTGGCTGTCAGGGCACGTTGTTGGATAAAGGGTTCCAGTTGCTCAATGCTAATAGCTGGGCGCAGGTTTCCAATCCAAATGACCCCACGCCTGACACTAAGACGAGGGGACACAGAAGAGACTAGTTGCCATGAGTCATCATCCACAGGTAGTGGTGGAACGTGCTGCGAACCCACAGTGTTTGTCTGTGTGTCTGCGACCTTTGGACTGTGGTTTGTAGTACATACCGGGTTTGCTTTATCCTTGGGGGCTCACATGAACTCTCAATGTTGTCACACCTTGATTCACTACTGGGCATGACATCAGTACTACTGAGTCTGTACGCATCTGACTGTACCCGTCCAGCTGCAGCTTGCTTGGCGCTACGTTTGCTGGCACGAGTACTACTAGTACTACTGTGTGTACGCTGTACGTCAGCTTGAACTGCAGGTGCAGGCGAGCTGTTGTTCGTCGTCTTTGCCTTCATCAAGGCAATGGCGGAGTTTTTCAGAGAAACTAATTCCTGTTTCAAGTCCTTCATTTCCGCTGCCAGCTCGCCAATTTTGCGTTTCATACGCGCTTCTCGGTCAGCAGACTCGGTCGCTAGGGTCGCCAGCGTTTGCACCACTGCAATGATACCCTGCTCTATCCCCGGGAGGGTGCAAAGCAGCTTCGTCACGGCCTCAGCAGAGAGTTCGCCCATGGCGAAGGGTTCTTGCCTGGCCTTACCTAACTATCTAGACTATCCTACACTATTTATACTACTACTCCTACTACCTTACCTACCTAGCTATCTCCAGTCCGGCCTGATGCCGACTGGGATGTCCAAACAAAGAAAAGCAATGCATATTGGACACACTTGCGTGCACAACAGAAACAGTGGAGAGAAATCTCTCAGCTCATGAACAATTTGAAGTTTGAACTGCCGTTGTTTGTGGTCATCAGTATGAACCTATCGACTATAACTATAATGTGCAAAAACCTCTATAACTACAGCTGGGGGCATGGAATTATAAAGCATCTAACTACTTAGGGAACTGCCAATTCTGGTCAGAGTTGCGTTCGAGGCCTGCAATTCATGATGGCTATCGTATGTTGCATTGACCAGAGATCATGTAAAACTTCCTAATGCCACACTGAAACGCGCACCGCTTCGAGTACTATGATATCCCCCACCAAATGGGCATTCCTTCTTGGGGTGGCAGGCGTCACCATTCTTCATGCCTGGATCAGATTTCATTGACCCCAACTGTCATGAAGAATCATTTTTACTTCGACTGGATTTTAGTACAAGTTGTAGAACTTTAGAATCAATTTTGTTGTATTTGGGCAACCATTTCTCTACCAACGCTCTATTTGGAAAATAGAATTTTTTTTACCCACATCTACCCAAATCGGAATACAGTGATCGCGCATTCAGTACTACACGGAAATTTAGAAAACGCCAGGGAATAGGAATTTGCTAAAGAGAACTCCAGGCCATAGCATGCCATGCCATGGGTACTAGTGTACGAACAAAAAAAAGAAAAACTCACCAGCATACGTGTAGTAATTCATGTTGGTGTAATATTCACGATACACAACGAGGGAAATAGTCAGCACAGTCCGATTTGGTCAAGCTGCTTTGAAGTCTGGGTGCTCATGTGATGCTAACAGGCTCCCCGTTGTTACTTTTAGCAGCTTCACTCTCCCTGAGACAGCGGCTATTAGCCTCTCTCTCCATCGTCAACAAAATATCACAGATTCAACATTCTACATTATTTTATCAGTACAGGGTGAATATGTCTCGAGACGAATTTAGTGGATCAACAACGCTTTGCTGGAGATAAATTCTCCTCTGGAGGACCCTCAGGATACCTGGAAGGGTATAGAAGACGGGATCGCTCACAACGTTGGGAGAACATAGAAAACAACCTCCTCTTCGATTGAAAATTGGCCAAAACGTATGTGAAATGTATGTGCGTAGGTGCATTTCCACCGACAAGCTAATCCCTTATTATGTCATCAGCGCTCGCTCGGCGAAATTCAAAAGTCGTCTTCTCGCCCGACTCGATCGCTTCTGGAGACTCGTTCTTGTTCCAGGGGTCTTCTCTTTCACCTACTTCCTCCGCGTCATTAAAATTGTCGCTTCGCACGTCGTAATATTTTGTGACTTGGCTCGTCTTCGTCAGACAGTCGGAATCGCTGTTTTCTGTTTTCGAACACTGGTGCGACCCTTCCTGCGCAATGTCTACTTGTTACTGAAGCCGTGGTGGTCTCGGACTTTGTCGGAGGTCTCTTCCGCACCAAGCAAATTCATCGCGCTCCGCACTATTCCGCCCCAGAGCGCATTTCGTTTTCTGGAGTTCGTGCCGTCCCACATCGTTCGAGTGGGCATTTATCAAGACTGCAAGCCCAGGTAGAAGAATCCTGGTATCTCTCCTGAATACGAAATGCTTAAGTTGACGATGGCAAGAACAAAGTTGTCTCAAATTCCTAAAGTGCGTTATTTGTGGTGCATGTTGCTGCGAAGGTAGCAGGTCTGAAAACACCGACAAAATCAGCGAAGTGCTTGCCAAAGAAAGAAGGTGTGGAACTGCTTACCCCACCCCGCTGGAAGGTCGTTACAGTGTACTTGAAAAATGCTAGCTTGCCTTCATCCCCTGCCATCTTGAGGCATGGATCGCTTGAAAACGAAATTTCTTGACCTGAATTTGAACGCGCGTCTTCTTCAGCGTAGTGTTGAGTGCTGAAGGGTCTGCCTCAAACTCTGATGAAGACGTCGACCTTAGCTACAAGTGCAGCAAAGCGGGAGGCTACAAATAAAAGCTGGGTCCGTCGACAATGCAGTGCCTCAATTTCTAGCTGATTTCTTTGCCCCTCGAGTGGACAAAATAATTTCGAAAAATCGCTCTGGGAAGCGACAATTTTAATGACGCGGAGGAAGTACCTTCGTCTTGCCATCAAAAACTCGGCGTCGAAAATGAAGCCGGAGTGCCCCTTTAAACCAGTTAAGCGTATTTTGAATATGCATTGGGGCCTTCAGCAGTTTAATCTGATGGATAAATCTACAACAGAGTATGTTAATTATGGTTAGTAAAGGACAGGTTTTGCATTGGGAATACAGAATTGTTAATGGGGTGCCAAGTGGGAAGCGAAATATCGCTCTCAAAATCCTGGGATGCATTAGTTCAAGCCGCGCAAGAATTCCTGCTCCAGCACTGCACCGCACAATGCTACAGTATAAAATTATGGGTAAGATATAGGAGGCGTAGAAAACCCGACGACAGACTAGAGGTAAATGGCTCATGGGGCTGTATAGAACACCAACAGCCGAACTTGTCCAGCGCTCGAGATACTCCAGATGGTGGGACCAACTCATGCCTGAGTCAAAGATGACTCCAAGGTGTTTGTGGTGGCTAACAATTGGGATGGCGTCCGGTCGTCAGGGAAGTGGAATAGGTACTGGTCAATGTGGGAAAGATCGGAACGCGGATGAGGTAGAATGCACAATATGACAGTCTTTCCAGCATTAGGTCGAAGTTTCCAGAGACGCATCCACTCAACCACTGAGCGAATTTCCGACTGGAAAGAATTACACGCCATGGGCAGGGAAAGTTCAGATGCCACAAGAGTAGCATCATTGGCATACAGGGACGTATTTGGAACGCCAGTTAAGTCATTTACATAGAGCAAGAAGAGAAGAGGACCAAGTATTGAGCCATGTGGCACACCGGACCAGACTTTGAGCGGGACAGCGAACCTGACACCCTGACCTGTTGGACCCGGCAGGATAGGTAGCTTTCGAGCCACCGCAGAACATTGCCACCGATGTTAAAGGAGGCGACTTTGGCCAACAAACCACGGTGCCACACTGTATCAAAGGCCTTTGATAGGTCGAAGAAACAAACTAGGCTGAAGTTGTGCTGATGTCTGCGTTCCAACAGGTTCTGAGTAAAGCATGCAAGTTGCCACGCAGTAGAGTCTATGTATCTTTGTACATGTATGTGCATTTGGTTCGCATACACATGATTATGTTGTATAATAATAATAATTGTTATTATTATTATTATGTGTGTTAGTGTGTGTATGCATAATTATGAGTTTGCGTGTTTGTCTATGAGTATGTGTGTGCATGTGTATGTGTGAGAATAGTACTGGACATGTGTGCCATGTATTTGTGAATGTGGAGTAGAACCAGCTGGTCAGTGCTGGACGAAGTGATGCTTGTACGTTGAGCTACGTGCCACGCGTAGTAGAGTTCTGATTATTAATTATTATAATTTGTATCATTCGAATTTGTGGAAATGAATACAAAAGCCGTTACTCACTACAAGCGTACCTCAATATGTGCATTTCAAGGATTTGCCACCAGAGCGAAGCACTGCAATCAAATCTGACTGCCAGAGAGTCTGGATTTGGGGGTGGCGTTTTGTTAGTAGTAGTATTCTTTTATTCCAGTAGCTATGCAGAAGATGTTACTTCAGTAACGTCTGGCGCTAGCCAGGGTCCACACAGCTTTAATTTGGTGTTTGTTTGTGTGTTTGTGTCACGCCTGGCGCTATCCCGTATCTGTCCCGTACCGTACCGTACCATCAAACACAGCTGGCCACATACAGCTGGCCGCTCAATTCAAATAGGGCTTTCAAACGCAAGATCAAAACGTGAAGCAACTTGGAAGAATGAGTATGAATGCGAAGTGTATGGGGGAATGCATGTAGGGCGATAATGCGGGTTCGAATCCCAGGTAATGACTGAAAAAATAGGAAAATTGAAAATTTTATAACATCCCTTTTCTTTTTTTGCCGTCATCAAGGCAGTAGATGGTGTCGTATTACCCTCGACCGTACCTGCCCCGTACCTGTCCCGTACCGTACCGTACAATCAAAGACGGCTGGCCACAATGCATATTCAAATAATATTATTCCCGTAGCTATGCAGAAGACGTTACTTCAGTAACGTCTGGCGCTAGCCAGGGTCCACACAGCTTTAATTTGGTGTTTGTTTGTTTGTTTGTTTGTTTGTTTGTTTGTTTGTGTCACGCCTGGTGCTATCCCGTATCTGTCCCGTACCGTACCGTACCGTACCAGCCAAGACAGCTGGCCACAATATATTTTGGTTTGTTTGTGCCATCGGCATGCCTGACGCTATCCCGTACCTGTCCCGTACCATCAAGAATACGGTACAATCAAGAGAATGAGTATATATTTAGAAAAGCGATCCTGTCAGCTTTTCTATTATTGTGTTCACATGGCAGAAAAAACGACACCGCTATGCTACGTAAGTTTCTACGTAAGGTGCTCGGTATTTCACTTAGGCTACGTAAGTCTCTACGTAAGGTGCTCGGTATTAGATCTACCAACGCGTGGTAGCCGTGTGCTGTGCACGTGCACGGCAGACATTGTGTTCAGTGCATGCAGTCCGCGGATCCGTGTTCGGATGTGCATGCGCGAGGAACTTCCTTCTTTGGAACTGCTTCTTGCATGCATGAGCTGTTTCGGATATTTCGTCTCATGGCCTGGCTTATTTCGTTTCGGCGCTGCTGAGACCTCCTTTCGCGGAATATTACTCAATGACAGGTGAGTTGACCAGTTGCCTTTGATTCATTTGCTTGTGTTGACTCTTTCATTCAGGAAAAGTGTGCTGATTTTGGGGCGGAATGCAATAAATAATGGAAAAGTTGACAGGATCTCTTTTCTAAATTTTGCTTTTCTGCTGCCGAGC